TGGGAGGGCAAGGGGGAGAAAGAGGTGCGGTGTGGTTTGGGTTGGGGGAGGAGGTGGTGTGGTGGCTTTGGAAGTACTGTTGTTTTCTGAGCAGCAACTAATGTGTGCTGATGGATAACTGTTGACATGCTCATCGAACCACAACCGTGCTCTGTTTGCCAACTCACTAAAAACGTCTTGGTGTTTAAAAAATTTGAGAGGATAAATGTCTCTATTAGCTTTTGCATCCACATTTTCACGCGTTCACATAAGAATTGTCAAGATAAAAAAAAATCTATAAATAGAAAGTATTTTTTTCTACTGCCATACTACGTTCAATTCGTTTGGAGTTGTCAGTTGGTGCTGCAAACATTCGTACATTTTCTGAAGAATGAATATGAATGAATTTTAGATATTTATTTTAAAATGTAATAAACTATAAAATAGAAACAGAATGTTATTAGGCAAGCCTGTGAAACCAGCGTACTTTATGTATGGGTTATATTTGTTACCATGTTTTGAATTTGTAAGGCATACAATATTCTCTAAATAACTGTAAGCAGTGGGTATGATATATGTATTTTTTTTCTTCATAGTTTCGAAATACGATACGATTATTAAAATGCAAGCATTGTCACTGGCCTGCTCCTACACGGAATGGTAAATTGAGCAGTAGCCTTCCTCTTTATGAATATAATTACATATCTAAACAGATTATTGATATCAACACTGCAAAACAAATTTGATAGAGATATTTTTTGTGCCTTTGGGGCAAATCAGAAAAAATAATCATGTTGATTCTGGGGTCAAATACCCCTTCATGGTCTGTCAAGTAACAAAAAAAGCCTGATACAAATTTGTAATATTTCCCGTGAAACGTTATTGAATGTATCAATTAGCATTCCATGTCGTTACCGTATTTAGATATCGACAGTTTCACCACTTGCATATCAATGGTTTTAATGCACTATATTATATATGCCTAATATACTCCAGAGGGCAGCAGTTGTGATGGAGGTCTAGATGGAGCAGATTAATTGATACGAGTGCTGTCAGGATGGGTACATCACAGAAAATACACCTGAGAATACAAAAGAGCACTCCAACATGATGGCATTCAGCTGCTGATGGCCCTTTAGGTTGTGTTTATGTATATAATCTTCCATTTTGCAGACATATAAGGTACCGAATACACAAGGTACCTGAGTAGATATTTGGGGTATGTGTCAAAATCTGGAGGCAGTAGTGAAGGTGAGTGGTTTGAAGGGGGTTGCTGATGTATAGCTTTGTAGCCATATCTGATATTATTACAACATTAGATTATCAAGAAAGTTGTATGGTACGATAGCTTTGTTTTTTTTTTTTTTAATTTGATACTTTAATTTGGCCAGGTGGCACTGTTGGCAGAGTGCTCGACTGACAATTGGATTGTTGAGAGTTCAAATCCTGGTTGTAGATCAAGTTTACCAATTCTTTTTCCAAGGTAAAAAATACGTACTTACTCTACGATTGTGTTAGTTGCTAATGGTGATTGTGCCATTGAACAACTGGCTTCGATATTATGGTGATTTGTTGGGCTAGCCAGATGGCTCAACAGTAACGTGAGAGGCTTGCATTCGGAAGATAGTCAGAGTGAGATGGAGAAGCCGAACGAGAGAGACAGTCGGAGAGACGGAGAAGCCGAGAGAGAGAGCGACAGTCGGAGTGAGACGGAGAAGCCGAGAGAGAGCGACGGCTGGAGTGGGATGGGGAAGCAGAGAGGGGAGTCGGGAGAGATGGAGAGAGAGAGGGAGAAACGGTGCGAGCGAGGCCGGCAGAGCGCGGCGAGCGAGCGGAGAACGCGCTAAAGGATGGTGGTGAAATGTGCTGTGTTGGACAAAATAAAGTGACGACAGAAAAGGAAGAAGTTGTCCGCGTAAAGTTCAGCACTACATATGGCAGCAAGGACACCGGGGATGTGCAAATCCCAATCCAACTGCGCCTCATTGACCCCTTGGTACAGCATCGATGTTAGAGTCCTGTGCAGGCATTCTACCATCCCGTATATATGAGGATGGTAGGGCAAGTCCAATTTTGTTTTGTACCTAGGGAGTCGCACACCTTCCGTAACAATTTAGAAGACATATTCCGCCCCTGATCTGTGAGAAGTTGTTCAGGGGCTCCCTTATCCATGACGTAGCCGTACAAAAATGCATCTGAAATGGATGCGGCAGACTGGTCAGGCAGAAGCCAAGCCACCGGCCACCAGAAAAGATGTTCCACCTCAACCAAGAGGAATTTATTTCCCTCTGGGTAACCAGGAATGGCCTCAAAATATCCAGTGCGACTAGCTCATTAATTTGAGACACCGTGATAGATTGTAATGGAAGCTGAGCCTGCCGCGATGGTGGTTTGCGGCGTCCACAGTCACTGCAACTTTAACCAGGTGGTAGACGTCGTACGTCATACCTGGCCAATAGAAGTCCTGCTTCAACGTTAACAATGTTTTACGGACTCCGAGGTTCATTAGTTTCTCAAGCACCACCCGTGTGAGCTTACCCCGCAGGGCAGTGGTTACCACCACACAATAGCGCTGCAGTTCCTCATCCCATCTCATCAAAAGGCCTTCATGAAGGACTAAAAGGGCGACCCCCGCTGGGACAGTTTTACTACCTCTTGTCCCAACGCAGTGCCGCAATTTTAACAATGAGACGTCCTCCGCCTGCAGCCGTCCCCACTCAGTATGCGTGAAACCTAGCGTGCCATCACTAGGTGCAGCCACCGCGGCTGGTGCTGCATCGCCGGACGCTGCCACAACTTTAGGCGAACCAGCTAGCGATGGCTTACACCGGCTCGCACCCATGGAACACGCACACTGGTTACTTAGTGGCAGTGGGACAGCGCATCTGCGTTGTAGATGAAAGTGAAGGAATATTCCCGTAGTATTTCCAGCCAGCGAGAGAGCTAGCCGGAAGGCTTGTCAATACGCAGGGAGCATTGGAGGGCCGCGTGGTCTGTGCGCACAATAACGTCCCGTGCATAAAGGTGCGGCCTATACTGTTGGACAAAAGAAACCATGGCCAACAGTTCCCTTGTGCATCACACAGTAGCGCTATTCTGCGGGAGACAACACACGGCTACCATATGCCATGACTCTCTCTGTGTCGTTCACGACCTGGGACAGCACAGTACCTATCCCAGTGTTGCTGACATCCGTGTCCAAAGTAAAGGGCAGAGAAAAATTGGGGTAGCCGAGGCCATCACGCAACGCGACAGACGTGGCCTCCTCCTCCCCCCCACCGAAATCTCTGGCCCTTAGCAGTCAGCACGTGGAGCAGTTTGGAACACAGACCACAATCGACACAAATGCTTCTTGAACGCAACCACAACTCAGTTTGTAGACACCAGGGTATTGCATGTCATGAATCACATCCTTTACAGATGGGATTAAATCACGGATTTTGTGTACTGTGTTGAAACGATCCACATGTTAAAAAGTTAGATGGTAACAAGATTGTCATCAATCATATAACATCACAATTTCCAACAGCCTAAAATCGGTACTAGCTAAAGGGTTGAATTTCGCAGCCACCCCTAAACACATCCCAGTGGATGATATAATTGCCCAGGTCGACGTAGCCCTCAAAGGTTTCGACACATCCCGGCAGACGTTGCTAGATCTGAAATCGCTGCTATCTCAAAAACGCTAAGAAACCCATGAGCTACATCAGCAAGGACGAGCGTTTTGAACTCTCTAAATAAAAAAACAGAGATGACATTGGCATCTTCTCAGCCGACAAGGGCAATGCCACTGTGATGCCGCCGCCACGAAGCCGCTCGGCGGGCGCCCCATCCCCGACCTCGCCACCACCAAGTGACGGAGCTGACCCCCGCGTTCCCCCACCTCACCTCACATAAACACACCCACGCATTTCCCCCCCCCCCATAGAGCTCCGAGGGGAAGTCACCTGGCCGACCGGTTTTAATCCGAGAAGCCCTTATCGGGATAACTTTCACGGTTTCCAGCGACCAGGGAATTGGACGACCTCCCCCGATGCTACTTCGCGGCGCTGTGACCGGCATTAAGATTGCATTGTCGCAGCGAGGGGCCACTCGGCCACTGCGGTTGAAACGCACCCCCAACACCCACACACGTATCGACGAGGCAGGCAGGGGAGGGACGGGACGGCATAATTAGCATGACAACAGGGGCTCTTGCGCGTAGTCGCTGATGGTTAGGATAATTACGCTCGAGCGCGTAGGTGCCATTATTAGGGAAATTATGGAAGTTAAAGGGTAAAAGCTGGAATTACGAATAAGCGAGGTACGCGGAGGTCTGTGCATAAAATCCCACGGCAAGCCTTTGTGATGGACACCGCGACCTAATTGGCATGACAAAGGCATGCACCGCGCAATCAAGCCGACCACCCATTGTGATAGGGAGGCATGAGAATGGAGCTGATTATAATATGCGCCGCGCATAAACGCGGGAAGGAGCGAAGCGTGCTCGGGGAGGCGGAGCCGTGGGACGGGAGATAGGATAAAAAGCGAAGGTTGCAAGGTAGAGGGGATCTCACTCCAAGAAGCCAGCGGTCAAGACGGCTCCCAGCTCTGCCCTCCGGACGTCCGTGCGACGTGTCCAGACGAGCAGCGAGGAAAACCCACAGGACGCCGAATACTTCGAACCGTGAGTAACAAGGTGAAATAGTATCGTAAGCAGATAAATCGGGAATAGGCATAGAGGTATCAGCGTAGGCCAGCCTCGTCGATTCATACTGACTTAACAACAAGTCCCAGGTAGCCGAGAATAAATCATTAAGCTGATCGTGGCCTCGTGTGATCTCGCTGAGAAGTGTGAACGCGTGTGGTGCTGTGTATACAGCGGCTCGCCTCGTGGGAGCGCTGTGCAGAGCAGCGCAAGAGAGGGTGTCGCGTTTGGAGTGCACGGAGCTGCGTGTGTATGCGTGTACGTACGTTCACTACGTGTATGATACAGGTGCGCGATCATAACGTGAGTAGTCAGTGTTGAGTGAGTGCCGCGCGGAGCTGTATGTGTGTGTGTGTGCGTACAATCACTACGTGTCTGATACAGGTGCGCATTGGTAACGTGGTTATTCGACGTGGAGGCGAGTGGTACACAGGGCTGTAGACGGGCACATGCTCGCAGCATGCGAGAGCTGTATGTAGCGGTGTAGAAAGGGGGAGTATGGCGTTTGATTGATGATGCTGTGCGTACGTATGCTCGCAGCGTGGGAGCGCTGCGCGAGGCTGTATGAGTAGGTGCGTCTCGTTCGAATGCCGGCGAAACCCTAGCGGGTATTATGGCGGTGTGGCAACGCAACCGGAACAGGGGATGCAGGCAGGGGAGACCCCGGGGGCCAACGGCCCCCACCCACTGTCATCATGGATAAAACCACTTGTAACAACAAAATTCAGGACCTTCTTAATGATGGCAGCTGTACCAAAATCAACAGAGATCCCACCAACTGCTTAGCTACAAAAACCAACAATATCATCACTAAATCGACTTATCTAATCGATTAGACAAAGCAGAGCTCCCTAAAACCTTCGGCTACTAGACCACCCAGATTATATGGCCTTCCATAAATCCACAAAGTAGGTACCCAGCTCCGTCCTATCATCTCCACCATTAACTCGCCCACCTACAAACTGGCCCGATTTCTTTCTGAGACCCTGCTTCCTTTCACGTGCAAGTCCACCTCAGCTGTACTTAACTCAGCTCACTTGGTTTCTCTAATCAAGGACATCTCACTGTCTCCAGATGATTTGCTTGTCAGTTTCGATGTAGTCTCTCTGTTCACCAATGTACCTGTACCTGACACCATTGCAATCATTGAAGACTTGGTCCAACAAGGACTGAATCCAGATGTACCAACTTTGGTAAGGCACTGCTTACCAACACATACTTCACCTGGAATGGTACATTCTACAAACTAAATGAGGGTACTCTAATGGGTTCTCCCTTATTGCCAGTGGTAGCGAATGTTTTCATGAAGAAATTTGAGATCGATGCCATCCAGACATTCCACCCTACGTCCTTCCTTGTGGAAGAGATACGTGGATGACACGTTCATCATCTGGCCACATGGCCTGCCAGCACTGAACCAATTTCTCAACCAAATCAATTCCATACACTCGTCTATCAAATTCACCATGGAAGTGGAAAAGGATGGCAAGCTACCATTCCTGGATGTTTTCATCGAGAAGAGACCTGATGGCTCGTTGGGACATTCGGTCTACAGGAAAGCCATCCACACGGATGCCTATCTAAAGCCTGACTCCCACCACCATCCAGCCCAGAAGAATTCCCTCATCAAAACACTACACCATAGGGCCCGTTGCATCTTTGACCAGCACCACCTAGCCAGTGAGTTGGAGCATATACACCAAGCCCTCAGAATGAATGAATACTTGGACCGTACAATCCGCAAACCTGTCTCCCCAAACATGCGGAGACAACCTTCTGAGGATCCAAGCAAAACCATCACTTTACTCTACATAGCAGGGGTTACCAAAAAGATTTCCAAAATCTTAAACAAACACAAGAAACAGGTTCGTTTCAACACAGTACACAAAATCCGTGATTTAATCCCATCTGTAAAGGATGTGATTCCTGACATGCAATACCCTGGTGTCTGCAAACTGAGTTGTGGTTGCGGCAGCAGTTCGTGAACACAAGGCAGATCTGAAACACGGTAGGACCAATACCTCTGCCGTTGCTGATCATTGTTTTAATGCTGCGGGCTCACACTAAATTTATTTTTCCAAGACGAAGGTACTCTGCAACCCACCGGCTATTATCAGAGATTTGTTCATGAAGACATCCAAATATATAAACACAGACACAACTTCAACCGAGAAGAGGAATACAAACTGAGCAATCATTGGTAAGGCGTTATTAACCACGTAAAGTCTTAACTGACTGTGATGTTTCCATCCCTATCTGCCTATGTCAGCTGTTATTCCGACTCTCTGAGTACATCACCAGGTTAATATCTGTGAGGCGGCCCCAGCCACAGGAGGATCCCCGCCACCTCCGGTGGCTGGGACCATCTCACATTGACATACTAATCTCTCACATTTACGTACAAATTCCTTCTCTAGCTCCGCCCACGTACCCTGGGTTGAGCCCAACAAAATCCTATATGAACTCTTGTTGCAGCAGCTCTTCTTCTCCTATGTCAGCAGTTCTACTGCTGTATCTGTTCCACTGATGATGGTCGCTTGTGTGCGATCGAACGTCATGATTTATTTATGTTTTATACCTACGTGACTGTACCGAAAGAACCAAGAGTATGGATTCCTGCAGTCATGAAGCTTAAAATCAAGATTGAGGCACCTCTTTATTCTTGCACACAAAGGGGACTACACGCACTTACGTGGGTGCACACTATTTATATATTTTACACACAGCCATTTACTGTCGGCGGCACTAGCTAGTACAGTTGGCAGGCTGTCTAGCGGGTGGCGCCCAGTGATGGTGAAGACAGCAGCGACAATGGTGACGAACAGCAGATGGTGAAGACAGCAGTGGGGATCCACTTTCAGCAACAGTCCCAAGCTCCCGCTCAGGGCTCCCTCTTATGCTCCCGGTGTGGCCTTGCTCTGCCCTGGCCATGCCCCCCTTCTGGAACCTACTAGCAGATTCCCAGACTTCCAGATGGACCACTTCCTGAGCTTTCCCTTAGTTGTCTTTCTTTCTGTATATACTGTCGCCTGCTGACATATGTACTTTCCTCCGTTGTCAGTACCATTTTTGTCAGCAGCCAGCGCTATTACTCTACAAATGTGTAATGACAAGGTGACATCTGTCGGCCTGAAGGGGTAATTGCGGTTATGGGATTATTACGTAACGCCTTATTATAAGTGGGGCGTATCTGGAAGGGGGCATGGCCAGAGGCGGGGCTTGGCCACGCTGGGAAGCATATAACAGAGGCCGAACCAGAGGTTCAGGTGCTGTTGTGGGTCCTGGGTCCTGGCTGCATCGCTGCTCGTCGTCATCTCGTCGTCTACGACCACGTGGCTGTTCTTCTGAAAGACCCTCTCTGGTGCCCCCAGCTCCATCGACAGCTGCATCCCAACCCCAACAGGCGAGTCACGACACCTCAGACACTCAGCCCGTTTTACAGACTCATGCATCTAGGCTTATGGAAGTCATCTCCACCCCGCATCGCGCTCATGTTGCCGCCGGGCGGCAAGGCTTAGTTCCACAGGGGTGGCCTAGCTCGGGGACACAGTGGAGTAGTAAGTGCGTCGGGTGATCGCGGCTGCTGCGGGGGCCTCGGCCGTGTCGGGTTCTATTCAAGGAATTGAGGTGCGGGTGTTAGTTGATACTGGTATTTCCGCTACCATTATTTCGGACGTGAGTTTTGACCTGTTACCGATCAGGGACCGGCTTATTAGGCTGGTAGTGAATGCTTGCGTTGCGGCGAATGGTGTAGTATGGGGATTATAGGGCAAATAGAGGCCCGCGTTCAGATTAACGAGATTGCAGTTGTTGGACCGGTACTGATCTCGAGGATGCTGGTGTTGCCCTGCCTTCTTGGCACAGATTTTTTAGTAAAATGCCCCTTAAGATCCTCATTGATCAAGGCTGTGTGAAGATGCCGTCGGGCCGCAAACTGTTTTTTTTGCGGTCCCCACACAGGAGTACAGTTGCTAATGTTATGGTCCAGGCTCTTGCCAAGGACTCAGTTGCAAATCCCACCAGGATTGCAGATGTTGGTGCCGCTGCGCTATCACAAGCAGTTACAGGTAGCGGATCCTGAATGGGGCATCTTGTTGACTCCATTGAATGCGGTGACTCGGAGATTGGCGCTGGTTGGGGCACAGACAGTCGTCCGCCTCAACCAGGAGCCGTTCTTGCAGGTGCACAATGCGGGCCCGTAGACGGCTGTGGTTCAGCTGCTGCGTGAGTTTTCGGTATGTGTTAGTAAAAACAAGTTTGATGTTGGCCGTACCTCTCTGTGTGCAACATCGCCATTGATACAGGTGAGGCTGGGCCCATTCATCAGAACCCATATTGGCTGAGTCCGCTGGAGAAGGAACATGTGCAGAAAGCCGTAGTTGAGATGTAGCTGCGGATATTATTTCTCATTCTACCATACTTTTGGGAGCGTTCGTTGTGCTCGTTAAGAAGTTTAGATTTTGTGTGGACTTTTGGAAATTGAACAATCTCGGTGGCAAATTAGTACCCGCTCCCTCGTATGGATGATTCCTCGACGTGTAATGGGGTTTTGGCAACTTCCCTTGACGAGTCGTTGAAACCTAAAACCGCGTTCCGTACGCCCAGGGACTTTTCCAATTTATCTGCCTTCTGATGGGATTGCACTCGGCCCCAGCCACTTTTCAGTGGTTGATAGAACTCGTTTTAGTTGGCCTGCAGTGGGACTCCTGCTTCATCTATTTAGATGACATCATTATGTTTAGCCGAACTTTTGAAGAACACCTCCAGTGACTGCGAGCTGTTCTTGTTTGGATGCGATCCGCTAATCTGAAATTGAAACCTGCTAAATGTAATTTGCTGCAAAACTCCAGTGCGATACTTGTCAGCGCAAACGGGGTTAGCCACGGACCCCAAGAAAACGGCGTGTGTGCGGGACTGGCCAATCCCCAAATCTGTGGGGCGGTCCGAAGTTTGTTGGGTTTGTGTTGTATTATCGTAGATTTGTGCCACAATTTGCTACAATGGATAAACCACTACACGCCTTGATGGCTAAGAACCAGAGGTTCAAGTGGGGGTCGCAGGAAGGGGCTGCATTGATGGCTCTTCATGAACGTTTGGCTGATGCCGCCCCCACTCGATTACCCTGATTTCTCCATGCCCTTTGTTCTGACACAGACGCTAGCAACACGGGTATAGGTGCCGTCCTTTCCCAGGTTAAGAATGTGTGGAAAAAAGTGGTCATGTATGGTAGCCGCGTCTTATCTACGGCTGAACCAGTTACTGTGTCACCAATAGGGAACTTTTGGCCATGGTATACCTTTATACAACGGTATAGGCTATTTTTATGGCAGGGAATTTGTACGTTCACTCAAATCATGCGGCCCTTCAGTACTCCCTCAGAGTAGACCAGCCCTCTGGGCAGCTCTCGCGTTGGCTGGAGATTCTCCAGGAGTACTCGTTCGAGTGATGTACGGTGAAAGAATTCGGCATTGTAACGCTGACGCATTTTCCCGCTTGCCTCAAGGCAATAGTTGTGCATGCGCATCGGTGCGGGTCGTTGTAAACCTCCGGCGGCAATGCCCTCGGCTGTCATAGCAGCGCTTGGGGAATGGAGCCCGCCGAGGAGGTCGCGCTGGTGGATAGTGTTTTTGCACCTTGCGCGTGCCGAATGGGGAAGATTGCAAATGGAAGATGTTTCCCTTATGACCTTGTGGCATCAAGCGAAGCAGGACAAAAAGGGTCCGCTCCCTCTGATGGCCTGCGAACAGCCCTAAGGGACGGTCTTTTTGATAATGGACGAGAATGAGTCACACCGTTACCGTGTTGTAGTTCCCACCACCCTCCGATGCAAGCTGACTCAGGGGGTGCACGAGGACAAGTTGTTACACCTTGGGGTGCGAAAAACGTTGCTAATGTTGCAACATGATCATTATTGGCCGGGGATGTCGAGCGACATGCACTACTTCATTCAGGTGGCATAAAATGCGCGCGTAGGAAACCGCCGCTGAGAAAGTTACAGCCTCCATTGCAGTCTATGTTGGTTTCGTACATTAATGAGTTGGACGCACTCGACATCCTCGGGCCCTTTCCTGTCACGCAAAGGGAGAACAAGTTTCTATTTGTAGGGTTGAGTATTTTTCATGATGGCCTATGGCCTGGCTGCTGCCCGACCAGTCAGCAGCCTCTATTGTGGATGCGTTTTTTTTATGGATACGTGTTGGACAAAGGTGTCCCTGAGCAGCTGCTCACGGATCGGGGGTGGAATTATTCCTCTAAGTTGCGACGGTGTTTTGCGATGTGCTATGCACTAAAAAGATTAGAACGTCTCCGTACCATCTCCAGACGGACGGGATGGTAGAACGGCTGCATACAAACCCTGACATCTATGCTCAGTCAGGTAGCCAGCACAGCCCAAACTGATTGCGATCTGCATATTCCAGGAGTGTTGGCCGCATACAGAACGGCTCCCCACACTTCTATTGGATTTTCTCCTTTTTTTCTAATGTACGGGAGGGAGAGTGAACCTCCCATGGAGATTCAATTGGGGTTGTCTGAGAAAAAAGGAAAATCTGAATTGCCTGCGCCTTTGGAAACTACTTTGGAACGAGAAGCGGCGAAATTAAACACCGCCTAAGCACAGGCGGCCAACGAATAAAATTCGGGGCAAAAGGACCAGGAGTTGCATTGGGCTTTGGAGGATCGAGCATGGTTGCATTGCCCGCAAGTGCCAGTTGGAACGTCCCCTAAACTGTATCGGCCATGGCAGGGTCCTGTGGAAGTGGTGGAAGTCAAACGGCAGCAGTGTGTGCGTATACGAATTGGCCAACGCTGTTGGTTTGTTCATCCGTCGCAGTTGAAGCCTTATATTCCTTCTCGGACTTACACCTCATCTCCAAATTGTGTTTGGCCGGTGTCTGACGAGCCGGGGGAGGCGCCAATGGAGAGTGTGCGTCAGAAGGATTGTATTGTGCCGCCCACAGCTTCTGAACCCCTACATGACGGGACCCGTGACCTCGCCGAACGCGCGGAGTCGTTGACCGAGACGGAAGCCGCGACACCTGCATTGTGCTGGGTTATTCCTTCCCCTTCATTGCCGATCGTTCTGCCCTCTTCTAAAACATGCTATTATGTTGATGCTAGTTATGGCAGAACTCTTCCCCTGCCTCGTGTGCATTTCGTTGTTATTATTATTAGCCGGACGGCTATCTTTTAACCACGGGGGGTGGGGGGGGTGGGGTAAGGTAATGACAGGGGGTGGGGGTGGGGGTAAGGTAATGACAGGGTGACATCTGTCGGCCTGAAGGGGTAATTGCGTTTATGGGAGTATTATGTAACGCCTTATTATAAGGGTGGCGGGGCTTGGCCACGCCGGGGCGCATATAAGGGGGGCCAAACCAGAGGTTCGGGTGCTGTTGCGGGTCCTGGGTCCTGGCTGCGTCGCTGCTCGTCGTCATCTCTTCGTCTCCGACCACGTGGCTGTTCTTCTGCAAGACCCTCTCCATCGCCATCGCTGTGCTCGTCGGACAGCTAGCGTAATGTATGCCGGAGATAGGCTATGTGTTAGGATCGCCTATGTGTAGCTGTATTACGTATAGTATCGCCTTCTACTCGACGTGTCTCGGAAGTCGCTCACTACAAATGTACTAATTATAATACATGTATCACTGCACTGTATAAATATGCACATTCACAACCGCCATTAGCCAATTACATTTTCTACTATGTAAATGCATCCTATTGCTTTGCAGAACAACACAAGTCAATGTCATTGCCCAGTATTATGCAAATAATACATGTAAAGGCTAGATTAGCATTTAAAAATGGGACGTGAACCCTCACACTCATTCCTACACTTCACAGTATGTGCCTGTTAAAGACTTGACATTTGTGAAGCATGCAATGGACATACACAAATTCCCAATAGCACTTTCCCAATTCACTACCAGAAAGTGGCTGTGGTTGCTATGAGCTTAAATGAACATGCATAAGTTTTATTGTAGTGCTACCATTTATTTCAGTGGGCCGTTGCGATTGGTCCTAAACTATTGAAAATCTGTATTACTATGTGTAAATGTGTTATATGTTACTGAGAAAAATGTATGAACAGTCCCACTCTCTCTGAATCGGTGCAACTACTGCTCTGTATGTCGATTCATAATGCCTGAAATACTATTGGCGATTTTTATTTGTTAAATATAGTATTATGTATGTATGTTGAACTTCTTTCACACCATATGTAACCAACCGTGCTAATCTAAGAATAAATGTCGGCAGTACATTTGTGTGTAGCCTCAGATCTGTGCGGTTATCACTATTTCATAGCTTTCCGTTTTCATCCTGATGAAATCAACTATGGTACATGGCATTATTTGAAGGTTATGTTGAGAATGCAGAAAGCGTGACGTTGCTT